TGTGGCCTCTCCCGTTGTGGAGCACAGGCTCTGGACACGCAGGCTCAGAGGCCATGGCTCACGGGCCCAGCCGCTCCACGGCATGTGGGATCTTCCCGGACCGGGGCATGAACCCGTGTCCCCTGCATCGGCAGGTGGACCCTCAACAACTGCACCACCAGGGAAGCCCTATAAACATTTTTGATGTAGAGTTCTTTAGAGCATGGAATGCTTCATCCCTTAGGAATGGTGTCAAAGATGTTAGATAAAGGTAGGAAAGGGGCATTGTATTGATCTTTACTGTGTTCCAGGCACTCTGCTGGGCACGTTACAGCCATTAACTTATTGAATTTTCACATCTACCTTGCAAGATAATTATTAATGTAACTGTTGTTGCAACTACTGTGAAGATAGTTATTACTGTTGTTGTTATTATTATCATTATTGTTATCCTTAATTTCCAAGTAAGGAAACAGGGTCAGGGAGGTAAAATAAGTTGTCCAAGTTCACATAGCTGGGAAGAGGTAGTGTCGGGATGAGCATCCTCTGAGGATCGCCCACAGGACGAATTCCACCAGTGCTGTAATACCACCTGCCCTACCGCATGGTGCCGGCCTCTTTCTGGGCGTGAGTCCTGGCAGTGGGACAGTAAGTACAGGGAGGAGCTGGAAGAGAAACCAACCTGAGACAAAATATGCCCTTTTCTATCTCCCTTCCTTCTTTCTGAACCCCAGCCCTTGCCTTCCCAAGGATGCCAGAGAAATGAGTTGGCAGAGACCAGGGCAGATCTCAGATGTCCGAGAGTCCCAGTCCCTATGTAGGAATTCTGAAAGCGTTCCCCCCACTTTCACTTTCTCTCTAATATCGTATTACATGATTAAAATAGTTCTGGGACAATCATTCCTTGAACCGGCATTTTGACACCACACTTAATAACTATTATGGCATGAATGTGAGTATTTTAAAAAGCTACATGTGAACACCAGCTCTGCTGTTTATCGGCCGAGTGGACTTGGGCAAGTTACCTTCACCACCTAATCAGTTTCTGCAGTTGTAAAACTGGGATGATAATGGGAGCAGTTCCAGCCAGTCACTGAACAGCTTTCATTGAGTAGTACCATGGCCTCGTCACTGTCTGGGGCCTGGGAGATGGAGAAGCAGGCAAAACACAGCCCCTATTCACAAGAAACTGATATTGTACTGACAAGGGTAAAAAACAAAACAAAACCAAGAATCAGGGTGGTAATGACGAGCGAGTGAGAAAACATATATAAAGTATTTAGAACAGTGTTTGGCATGTGGTAAGTGCTCAATAAATGTTAACCATTATTCTTTTTCCATCCGTATAGCGATTTGAAATGAAAAAAACCCTGTGTATCCAGGCTCCCAAATAAGGTTTCTTGCCCCAGCTGCTTCTTTACTTCCAAGCCCACTGATTTTTCTACAAGCTCTGACAGTTTCCACAGCATTCAGGCCCTGAGCCATGGTCTCAGGTGTGGAGCGAGGCTGTCTGTTTGATGCTCAGTCGGCTGCGCCTTGCCAGTGGGTTCGAGCCTTTTGAGGGTAGAGACCAATCTCTTATCCTGCTGTGTGTTCCGAGGGCCTGCACGTAATAAGTGCTCAATAAACATTTGTTTCTGAAGGGAGATGGGAGGGGGGTAGTTTGTATGTGGAGTCATGATATACCCCTGAATGGTTTTATATTTACTGTATTCTACTAAGAAAAGTGTTGGCTTTTGGTATGGCGATTGCGAGGAGGCCAGAGAAAAAGAGACAAGGACATTCATTTGTCTAAGCTCCTTCTTTTCTGAAGAGGAACAGCATCGTTCTTCAGTGGCCCCTTATTTATTCCCGTCGGGACTGACAACAACTTAATGTTGTCATAAGCAGAACAACTTAATGGGAGGAAGAGAGGCTGGTGAGACCTTGGCTGGGGCCCCAGGGTGGGGGCCTTTAAGAGAGGAGCAGCGGGCCCCTCTGTGTCCCTCCCTGATCTGACAGGCAGCTGGGAAGCATCTTGCCCTGAAATCTGGCGCTAACCAACAATTCTCTGTAAAAAGATTGTGCTTAAGAATTTGAGGGTAAATCGAGCACTGTACAGAGAATGAGGCCCAGGTATGATTCCCCCTTTTAAATGTAACACTTTTGCATAACCCTCCTAATTCTCTGTTAGAGGAGGCCCTTCCCCTGCCCTTGAAGCTTAGCGATGATTTTAATGGCCTTCAACTGGGCCAATTTCAAATTATTTTCTGGATGAGCAAGGGAAACATTCAACCCAAGACAAACAAACAGAGTTCATGTGGATGGTTTGCATTCTGCTGAACTATTCTGTTTTTAATAACTGATTTAATAGCGAGCAAGTGATTGCCTATAATCTTAAACCAATCCTCAAGAACAATCCATATGCATGTGATGGTTGCTTGTGCACAAACTCGTCTTTCTACATAAATCCATGTAGCAATACCTGTATCTTTTATAGGGATATTTGCATAGAGGAAGGCTACAAGCCACACACAACTTTTTTTTTTAATAAATTATTGTTAAAAAATGTACTCTCCTTAACCTCGTTGTGATATTGTGCTTTCTGTTTGTAAAATCGGACTCCTAAATGAGCAAAGAGAAAGAGAGAGAAAAAGCTGAATGCATTTTACATTAAAAGGAAATCCTTTTTCTTAAAAAATGTCACATTGTGCTCCAGAATACGTTTATTAAATCTCCCCACATATGTCCTCGAGAATTAATTTTCATTTGCTTTGCATTAACTCGTTTATTGAATTGGAATTCAGTCCCCATTTAAGGCAATTAATTTGAAGAGTGACCACACGCCTGCCCACACCCCTTCCAGAACACCCACACACACATGCTAAGTCCCAAGCCACCGATGACTGGATTTTTCTGCCTTTTTCCCTTTTCTTTTCCCCTCTGAGATATTTTTCCACTCTTGCCTGTTAAATAAATGATCTGTCTTTTTGCAGGATAGCGACAACCTCTGGTGGGATGCGTTTGCCACCGAGTTTTTTGAAGATGACGCCACATTAACCCTTTCCTTTTGTTTGGAAGATGGACCAAAGCGATACAGTAAGAAAGAAGTTTATTTTCTCTAATATTCCCTCTTTTTGCGCCTGTAAGAAAACCACAGGGGTCTTCAGAGAATAATACAGTGCTGACAGGCTGACAATAATCCCGGCCTCCTGCCTCTGATCAAGGCACTGTCACCGGGTGGCAGCCCGACTCGGCAGCAAGAGATTTCCTTCGAAGCTTAGGATGTTTGGGCATTTGCCAGTTTAGAAAGCGAGGCAAATGTGAACCAAGCCCCCCAATGATAAGTGGTAGCTGAATTGTGGAGACTTGCTGTCCATCTCTTCCCTGCGACCCTACTTTATGCTTGACAACACTTCACACCCAACGTTCTGCTTCTGAAGTTCCCTTTAAAAAAATATCCTCACAATCACTTTATCAGCTATATCCTTCTAATTCCCTCTTATCAATTATCTCAGGTATTTATTTGACAAGTGCTATGTTTTCTTGGGGGCGGGGGAGGCCACAGATGCTTTGAACACACACTTTGGGATTCGTGTTGACAGAATTTATAGTTCCTTGTCTTTCTGGCGAGTGATAACTCTGTAAAGTTCCTCAAATTACAGCCTGTGGCACCTTGGGTAACAGCTGATCTGTCCTGATTAGGTTCAGCCAACTTGTCAGAGATCAGATTTGCTAGTTGTGCTGTAAGACTGAGAGGCATAAATACGTCGGCACAAAGACAATTAATGTCCAGTTAGATCAGAGAGAGATGCGTTTTCAGAAATCAGCATTGCACACGTGAAGGGATCTGTCTGTCAGAGGGTAAAACATCCCAAATGTGTCAAACACGGAGCTGATGATGGGACCAACCATAGTATGTACAAATGAGTCAGTCCAGAGCATTGAGTAAATGATGGGGTAACAGCATACACAATGAAAATATCTGATTGTTGCTAAATGTATTTCAAAGCCACTAGAGTACAACCAGTGCTTTTTTTCCCTTAATTTTATAGGACTTTAGATAACTTAGTATTTGGATCTATTGTATGATGAGTTGATCAATTATGCTAATAAATAGATGGTGATTTTGCAAAAGTGGAAAACAGTGGAAAGCAGGACAGCTTGCTCAGTTGAAACTCGTTGCCAGAAGCATCTCTTTAGGTTTGTATATTGTGGGCTTTCAGAGGCTGGGACATTTTTAATAAATATTTTGGATGAGAGGGGCAGCTAGTGTGCCAGACAAGGGACTTTTCCAGAATGTCTTTACATTCAACATAATGACACCTGTTGCAAGCACTGGCAAGCCCACTTCATCAGGGGTCCTGATGAGTTCACTCGCTTTCTGGGTGTGGGTGCTCCCAAGCAGCCTCACACCCTACAAAATGGGAGAGTCGGGTACAGAAGCTGCCGTTTCAGAATTCCCTAGGAGATAAATGAACTTGGCAATCCAACAATTACTCTATCCACAAAATCCTGCTGGATCAATGGTGAATAATTTCGAACCAAGCAGTCATCCATCCTCTGAGTCTTATTTTTTTCTGAGGCATAAGCTCAGATAACTTCAAGTTATCATTGTTTTATGTTCCTGTGCTTTTTGTGTGTGTGTGTGTGTGTGTGTGTGTGTGTGTGTGTGTGAATCCATCAGGGTCTGCTCAGGGAACTAGAATTACCAATAAAACAGATTCTCAATCTTCCTTCTGTCCACCCCTGACCCCAACATCATTTGGGGGTGAGGCATGATCAGTGCTTGTTAAGATCTTATATTCATGTGCAGGAGTAAATGCCTGACTACGAGCCGTTGTTGCCCAGGTTTCTTTGTTTCTCTGAACCAAAATATTTCCCGAGTGGCGAAGAGAAACAAAGATGATCGACAGTCTGGAGCCCAGTCTCATCAGCTGCTTTGCTGACAGCCTGGTGATGTGCACACGCTGCTGATGTGCGGGCAAGTGACAGCTGATTGACAGCAAGGACTGGGAGATAGGGAAGATGAAGGATGCTTAGAACGCCTGACGCACTTGCTGTTTATGCAGCGCTCCAAGCATCTCGCGGCCACCTTAACCCATTCACGGTCCAGGCACACTGTGCCGGGTGGGCAGGGAAAACACATGCTGGCCTGGGCTGGGGCTGCAGCACTTCCTGGAGACCTTGCAGGGAGCTGAGAGCTTTGCATTTCTGAGGAAGAAAAGAGGACTTGGCTATTACATTTGTGTATGTAAAACATTTCCCCATATTGCTTTCATTCTAGGTACCAAGAAATATTCTAGATGAGGTTTACTTAATCCTTACTAGAAAAATCTTTTCCTTCTCCCTCCCCGTGTCTACTTTTTCAGAGGGTTCCTCTGGCTGTAAGAGATCTTATCTCTAAGCTACCGTAAATCATGTAATATGTGTTTACTTGTTTATTTGTTGTCTGTCACCACCTATTAGAGTGTTATCTCCCTGTGCACAGGGGCTTTGTTTTATTTATTGCTGAATTCTCAGATTAATACAGAAACTTGCACAACATAGGTACCCAATAAATATTCATTGAATGAATGATTGAATGAATGAATGGACATTTGGGGAAAAGTTTATATCCCAAACAGAATGCTGGCAAAACAATCCCCATAACGATGTCCTTGGACTTACTTAAATGGGAAGAACTCAGTCCAAAGTGCTCTGCTGGTGTTTTCAAATAAGCTCTAGGATATGGGGGGGACTCAACATATAATAATTCAGGAAATAATTATGTTGGGGAGATATACTACTCTTCCTTTCAGAAAGCTCTTCTGTATCAATCTTATTGCTCCACCCACCCCAGTCCCTACTCTCCTGATGGGAGTGGGCCCCCTCCCCAGGTGGGATATGATTGGGATTGCCGATGGAGACTACTGATGTCTTACTAGAAGACCGGGGTGAGGTTTCTGTGGAGAGGGGCCAGACAGACAAGGTTACTGGACCATGTAGCAATTGGGATGTGTGTCCCTAAGGCCATGTGCCTGCCCCTGCCTTGTGGGGCTTCATGAAGTGTTCCCCCAGCAGCTGGAGAAGCCAACAGTCCAGGGAAGTGGTTTCTGCTTGGGTTAGGTGGAATCTCAAGTGGGGAAGAGGGCCAGGGGTAAGAGATTCCCTCTTGATTAGCTGGTCTGTAGTTAAAGACCAGTAGAGCTGAAAAGTGTCTTTCTGGAAATGGACCCTTCCTTGGTCCGCAGAGCCCCAGCTGGTGAGTTATTAGACCTCAGGTTGACCAACTCCAGAGTCAGAGATGGGGCACCGCCACCCCGCCATCCTATCCCTACACCTTCCACAGCTAAGAGGAAAGAAATGGATTCATCAATTCACACATTCCAAGGAACATAAGTCACAAATAATTACTGTGTTATTTGATAGAGAGGGCAAGGCGAGCAGAAGAATGGGGTCTCAGCCCTCTGCACACTTGTTTTGCAATTCTGAGTCTAGCGTGGTGTATGATTTTCCTTCCGCATCTTATGCAACCGTTCTTAGGTTGCTTGCTGACCATTAGCTTCCAGCGAGGACTGATTTTCCTCTGCTCCTTTTCTGGGCATGTAGTGGAATTGTGCCCCACAGTCTCCGTGCTTCTGATGACCAGCACAGAACATTTTGGGTAAAGGTACTGGTAACCGCCTCAGGAAACCTAGGCCATGTCCAGGGCCACACTGGCCATGCTCTTCATCTATTGGAAATACATGTTTCCCGATTCATTCAGGAAATATTTCTTTGCTGGGAAAGATACATGGAGAGAGTCCTTCTGGGACTTCCCTGGTGGTGCAGTGGTTAAGAATCTGCCTGCCAATGCAGGCGACACGGGTTCGATCCCTGGTCCAGGAAGATTCCCACATGCCGCGGAGCAACTAAGCCTGTGCGCCACAACTACTGAGCCTGCACCCTAGAGCCCGCGAGCCACAACTACTGAGCCCATGTGCCACAACTACTGAAGCCCACGCACTCTAGGGTCCGTGTGCCGCAGCTCTTGAGCCCACGTGCTGCAAATACTAAAGCCGCGCACCTAGAGCCTGTGCTCCTCAACAAGAGAAGCCACCACAGTGAGAAGCCCCCACACCACAATGAAGACTAGCCCCCGCTGTCCTCCACTAGAGAAAGGCCTTGCGCAGCAATGAAAACCCAACGCAGCCAAAAGAAAAAGAGAAAGTTCTCCTGTGTCCCATGGCGTTGGAGAGGCTGGGAGGCTAATCAATATAGTAGAAAGCTCACAAGAGTTCAGTGTGAATATTCCTGGGTCTTAACCTGTGCTTATATTGGTAAACAGAGCCTCCATTTCCTTATCTGTAAAATGGCCATAAGACTACCATCACTGGCTTGCAGTGAAAATTAAATGAGATAATGTAATCAAAGAACTGCAGAGCATTTGAAGAATGTGGTAGTCAGCGTTAACTATTATTATTGATAACAATGCGCGACATTGGCATCACTACAGCTTCTGTGCATTGGAGAAGCTTGCCATTGGCAAGTGCTTATCAAGTACGTAGAGCTTGCTGGGGAGTGGAGAGCCTACAGACGCTTCTGATGGGCAATTCATGCTGAACTGCGACATTGAAGAAATCATCCTCTCCCAGGCTTTCAACTGCAGAAACCCACTGTCATCACTGGTAAGTGATGTGCGAAAGGAAGGGAAGGGCAGTTGAGAATGTGTGGGTTCTGTGCTTTGGGGGCTAAAGACTCCAAACACTAAACTATGTCCAGGTTGGTCTTGCTTTGGAAATTGGGGTGGGGGGGAGTTGACATAAATACTAAAATGCCATCTTATTTGGGGGCACTTCCTATTGGCTTTTTTTAAGGGAAAGGTGTGTGGTTCAGGCAGGGATTCCTGGTCTGAAACCTGGGTTCAAACCCAGCTTTGTCTTTTACTGCCTGAGTGATTTGACCTAAGTCACATTCTAAGCATCAGTGGACTCATCTGCAAAGTGAGGGTTTGATGAGATGACATGTAAATGTCTTAGCAGAGTTTCCAGTGCTTGGAAAATGCTCCATAAATAGCTGTTGTTATTCAATTGAATTCCAATGAGCATACCTCAGCCTCTAGATTGAGATCCAGGACA